TGGCCTAGATCTAGGCTATTACAACGGTGAACGCGCACCGGGTGAGAATAGCCAAAAGACTTGCCTGCACTATTCTCATCCCGGGTGAGAATAGAGGTGGCCTATTGTGTATGCTTTGAGTTTGAGATGTTAACATGTCACTAATAATACCCATTCCAGGTGAAGAGACAAAGGAAGGCAATAGGAATACAAATTAACACAAATTAAGTTAACTTTCTTTACTTTCTTTATTGCCCAACCAAATACTAAACTTTTAAACCCTATCATGCCTATCTTTTACATATCCCAACTCAAAAGTCCCTTCTTTATTGCGTAGGCTGGGGTGGTCGCTCGTTACGGAAGTCCTTCCCTCATTACGAAAGACCTACCGACCGGAATATTGGTGGCACTGTTCAGCACTATAAAAGTAAAAGTCAGTAAAGGGGTAGATCTAGCAGTAGGGTTCGGGAGGGTAGAAAATAGCTTGTCCTGTGCCTTGCCTTGTTCAAAGTTGTTTTGATGAGGCCAAGTGTTAACTGAGATATTTCCTCTTCGGAAGAAAAACACATTGGCATGAACTCAACGTGCATGTCTTACCTACATACGGAACTTGTCGATACCATGCCTTGTACAGGTTCAAAACTCTGCGCCTAGCCTCTGTCCGGTCAACAGAGAGCATAGGCTTTACTTGTTTCAACCCTTGTTGGACACTACGAGTCGCCATTTTGCTCTCAAGGACAAACAAAGTCGTATGCAAAATATATCGTTTATTTAATAACCCCAACAGCAACAGCACGCTAACATATTAATTAGTTTTTTAGAGAGCAATAATCGTGTTACTTTTGCCTTCACAGTAAACCCGTTATGAAATACAAACATTCATACTAAATTTGCAGGCAAAAGAAAAATTCAAGTAGATAAGTTTGTTTTTGTAGCTTCATGTGTTTTTCCCCCCCAACTTGAAACTAAGGGGACAAAACGCACAAAAATCCATACCTATTTGAATTCAATTCATTACTCCCCCTTTTTTTGTAACAAACTTTCATTGTGCTTTTCCTATTTTCCCGTTGTAAATCTCGTTGACAGGGGACGATGATCTCTCCACACAGGATCACGCCGAGATGTGATGCGCCGACACGTTGTTTTCACCTTTCCCGTACTACATGAACAACACTAGTTTAGCAGGAATAGAAGAAAGATCCTACATCAAAAATTATGTGAAAAGCTTTGCACTCAGATTGGCTTCCCGTTGAAAATAAATAAATAAATTTTTTAATGATCTACCATAACCTATAAAGTGTCTATCCTCTGGTCTAAATGCTTTAACAATAATGCTCTGTCTTAATATATTATTATACTTCTGGACTTTTAGCACCCATGTTTCATCCCGTCAGTTATGGTCACCTACGAACTTCAGAGCTCCTAGAATGAAAATAAGATCCTTTGGTGTGAGAAGTTTTTCATCTTTTTGGTCCTAAAAACTAGATGAACTGCTAGCCGCAGGATCTCAGAGAAACTACATAATATAAGTTCAAGCAACTGCCTAAAACTCATTTTTTAAAGTCTTGGTTGGAGTGTGTAAGCAGGTGCTGGTGTGTCTTGTTTCTACTGTTTGCCTTATGTGTAAGCCAATGATAAAATAAACGAACTGATGTATGGCTGAGAAAAATTTTTTCCTTATGACATTTTTGGGCAGGTTTTATCGTGCAGATGATTGTGTGTGTCTGTCTGTGTGTGTGTGTGTGTGTGTGTGTGTGTGTGTGTGTGTGTGTGTGTGTGTGAGCGGTTTTACTCTCAGTTATCATGTCACCTATGTAAAGCGTTCAGAGCGTACTTGTATCGAATAGAGCTCTAGGCCTATTCTATATTTATTATGTACCGGTAATCGAATAACTGTAGGCCTACTCTGGGGTATAAGTACGCTTCCATGTTCAGTAAAATCAACAAATATTTAATAATAATAATAATAATAATAATAATAATAATAATATTATAATAATAATAATAATAATAATAATAATAATAATAATAGATATTTATAATAATAATAGATAGCATAAATTTGTATATTGCATATCCCCGCTCAACAGCAAGCTCTATGAGCTTCACAATCTATACTATTACCCCAGCAGACCTGAGAGCGTTCTGAAACAAACTCAACTTCATGGGAAGCATACAATGCAAGCAGCCATTTATTGGCGCTGAAACACTAATTTATTGACAAGATATTGCGCTGTCTATAGCCGGGTACCCATTTCCACCTGGGTGAAGGGAGGAACATTTGTGTAAAGTGCCTTTCCCAAGGACACAACGTCGGGCCCGCGGCTCGAACCCCCGACCCCGCAACCTCATGATTATGAGTCTGATAGCCTAACCACTAGGCCACCGACGCCACAGGTTTACTGATATGAGCTTCTGATTATATCCACAGAAAGATGTGGGTTGTTTTTTTTTAATTCAACGTGGCAACCGGCGGACTCAATGCACTATTTCATTCAATAGCCTATATTATTATAGACATTGGCCAAACGTAGTGACCATGACTATGTCCGCTTCTGACAGAAACCTAGCGCATATAATATTTGTCTCTAGCACAATTTTTCCTCATCTTCTAATCGTTCACTCAAATTGATGATGATGATGATGATGATGATGATGATGATGATGATGATGATGATGATGATGATGATGATGATGATGATGATGATATAATAATGACAAGAAGAAAAGAAGAAGAAGAAGAAGAAGAAGAAGAAGAAGAAGAAGAAGAAGAAGAAGAAGAAGAAGAAGAAGAAGAAGAAGAAGAAGAAGAAGAAGAAGAAGAAGAAGAAGAAGAAGAAGAAGAAGAAGAAGAAGAAGAAGAAGAATAGACATGATGACGACAGACCGGTATTAATATTCATTTTTGAAGTAGAGATTGGTGATCCAATAATTATGGTCTATGTCTGATAAAAGTTGAATGACACCGGTAATTCGTCTATTCCTTTGGAAGAAAATGATTCACCCAGCTTTTTTGTATGACTTGGTGACAAAGTTAGCAATACCTTTTTTCTTCAGTAGTTATGAAAGAAACGACGTCCTCATCAAATGGATACATCAAGGAGTTTTAAAAACTGCATTAATGGGTAGGATTACTCTTCTTAGTTGAATAAAGAAAAAAAATCCTTCCTCCTCTCCTCCCCCTCCCCTAATATATAAAAGTGAAAAATGAAATAAAAGATCTATGTCGCAAGAAGTTAGGTCGACAAAAACGTCTGGCGTATTGTTACAAACCAAGACAGCATGTCGAAATTTGGTTGAAATTTGGTTGTTTATTTCCATAGGACCAATACCCCTTCCCCTCCCTCGCACTTTATCCTTTTTTTTCAAATTCATATACACATGCTCCCTTCCTCTCCCCCTGTCTGACTCAATGAACTAGATCGATCCGCGCAATCAGAGATCTTTGAAGCCAAACGATCATCAAGGATGCTCGTTTTTGTTCCTGGGGCCAAAATAGATTTCCGCTAATGAGCTGAGGGAGGGTGCAGGGAGGGCTGGGTGGATTCCCTAACGAGGCGTTGGAAAGCAAAGCGGGGTCCACACAGAGGTGGGAAATGATAGATGGGACAAAAATAGCTGAGGTGTTTTCTTTAATTTCTATGTAAAGAGAAAGGTGACGTCATCAAAATGAGATGGTGGCGGTTTTTGAATTTTTAAGATAGCATACCCACAGCAGGAGAAGTGGGAGAACAGTGTTTTGAAATAGCCCCTCTCCGCAAGAAAACCAACAATTCCACAGTAGAGAAATACAGATTTATCCCCCCTCCAATCCTCTTACCAGTAGGCTCTTATATAAAGACTGTAAGGGAAATTTATTTTTATTGGGGAAGGAAATGCTGTACCTCATTAGACTACAGCCAGAATTGCCATGAAAGCAGGTACCATATCAAGGCTTATGAAGGTAAAGTAAAGAACTTTAGATGCCTTTGAAATACTCTTTTTCATCAAGGTTTATTAATCCAATAATATCAGAGTCATCTGCAAACTTAATTAAACGTGTTGTTTTATATTTACTTCTATGATATAATAGACATATGTATATATATATATATATATATATATATATATATATATATATATATATACTCATTAATATTTTTAACTTCACACATTTTAAAAGTGTGTAGCTCAAAAGCTGCACATCCAATTACTTTGACATTTTTACACGATGCCACGTAGGCTTATTGTCATTCGTGAACTATACTCACTAGGATGCACTGGTCTATCGTTTTGTTTGACGATGTTATTCTCGTGGTTTTGATAATTTGTAAAGTACTGTGAAAATGTGTGGGTAAATCTTCCTTCCAAGTTTTTCGCCACATAAAAAAGTTGCTTCTCTTTTCCGATTCACCATGCTTCGGCTGAATGAATCAAAAAGAAATCACATCATTGAAATGCCTCAGGTAGGCCCGCCGCAATCATTAGTCGCGAGAAGAACATGAACAAACACACTGTGTATGCCACACACGAGATCACATGTCAACAATAGGCAAAAAAAAACCCCAAAACAGACGCAAGCAAGTAGAACGCAGTAAGATAAAAACCGAGGGTGGGCGTATCCATTTCAACGCAACGCCTGAGAAAGTAATTTCAACCGGCAAAAAAAGGCCCAGGAGGAGTTGAAAAGACTTAGAAATGGTAGTCCGATCTTTGTCTAAAACTGTTCTTCGCTTGAAACATAGGAACTTTCGTTCCAGGGGCGTAGTTTGTCGCATAAAACTGCAATCCCATAACATCAAGCACAGACTTTACCGGGAACAGCGTCGCCGGTGATGGCCAAGGCTAAATCAACCAAGTTCTCCAGCCCAATGTACTTTTCTTTCAAAATCAAGCCCTTGGACAAGTTTTCTTTGCACGATAATGCACCTGCCTATATGGCTGCTGTGACAAATCCATTTTTAAAAACTAGCAACATTCCTCTCCAGCACCTATGACAAACGCATTCCCCAAATTTCAATCCAGTTGAGCCCTTGCGGGACTGTTTAGATCGCGACATTCGTGGAACACCACGCCAGCCCCGTATCCCTTGCTCAGTTTGATTACGCCTTAATTGAAGAGAGGAATATTTTCCCACAATAGACAATACCTCGATTCTTCCCGTCCTTGCGTCGACGATGTGAAGATGTGACAACGCCAGGTTATGTCATCACACGTTACTGAAAGCTGTCACTTTTAATTTTGACCCATGACCACTATAAGTTCGAAATTAAAGATCAAAACAATTCTTAACTTTGCATTCCGCGTGTTTCCATGGCTGTGAAATGAATGCACTGTATCTTATCTGAAAATTTCAGACATATTCGTTAAGTATTAATCAAGATATTGCCTTTAATATGAGGTGTGAAGTTAAAAATGTTAAAGAGTATAATATATATATATATAATATATATACATATGATATATATATACATACATAAATATATATATATACACACACACATATATATATATATATATATATATATATATATATATATATATATATATATATATATATATATATATATATATGTATATATATATGTATATAACACATGTAAATATAAATAGAGACACAGAGAGAGAGAGAGAGAGAGAGAGAGAGAGAGAGAGAGAGAGAGAGAGAGAGAGAGAGAGAGGGGGGGGGGGCTTTTTTGTAGGAATGGGGAGGGAGAGAGAATCATGGTTAAGCAATGAGTTTTGTTTGGCATATTATTTTCTTATTGTTCCTC